TTGGTTGTCTCTTGATTATAGTGGTAGGTAGGTTGGTTAGATGCAGTCGTGGTGGCCCCAAGGTCAGAGAGGGCTCAGGCGTTAATGGAATTGCACAAAAGGACGAGGCATCTTGAATGTCACCTCAGAGAGAATGGCCAGAGGCCAGAGTTGTCGAGGGGGTCTGATCTATTCAAGAGCCAGAGAGAGACTTGTAATCCAACTATGTTTTTCGGACCGACTGTGTAATCGGAGACCTTTTTTTCCTGTATGGGCGCCGGTTGTCTCTCAATCTAATTTTATTTTTTCGTTTTGTATTACATGATGGCCAAACTGGCAGTTAGATTGCGTCTACGGTTTTGGTTGTTATACTATAGCTATATTCATATGGGAATATTAAGTATATATTGAAATATATTACAACATATATACACTGTAACTGTTCATATATAAATAACTTTCAAGCTTCAACTTTATGTTCTTGTGTGATTTAGACTAATGCTTTGAATACAAGAAATAAGCTTTGTTTTTCTGTAAGTCAAATACAGAGAGAGCGTGTTACGGAAAGAACTTAGAATATAATTAGTTCATGAGGGAAAGCGTGACACTTCCGCAAGAGCTTCGTGAAGGAGGTTTGAAAAATACACGAGAGCGACACCAACCGTGAATATTGGGAGGGCAAATTCGGAGTTGTCAACGAATAATTGGAGGCTATAATAGAAGCATACACACCTAAAACTAGACGATAACTTTCAAAGAGTCCATTCGCAGTCTGGGTGAATTGAGACGGTAGAAAAACGTGACAAATAGACGCTGAACACTGAAGCCACGAAACAGTTTACGAAGCCAAAATCACATCAAAAAAGGCAAATAACTAAATCTTGATGTCATACGGCCGGTCTAATAAATCGCAGCATCCATTTGAAACCATCCCAACAGATAATTATTGTTTGCCATTCGGAAAAATGCACAGAAAATGCCTATTCATGTGTGTGCCCGGTTTAATTTTCATTCAGTTGAAAAGGGCCAATCTTTCTCTACAAAAAAAAAAAAAAACAACCATATGCCTAAATTATCATGTAAACAAAAGCTACTTCATTTAAGTTATTTAAATAATGATTGCCCCCCCTCCATAATACTACGCCTAACACTACTTCTAGAATTACGATCATTTTCTACTCTTTATATACTTTTAAAAACCCAAGGTGGTGTAAAACAGCCATCAGTGTTGCCTTCAAAATTTCATAACAATAGACTTGCTTCATATTGCCAAAACTGTGTAGACATTAATTGATTTTATTTCGATTAATAACATTTTACTCGAAGTAAAAGACATCATGCACATATGGACGTTGAAGTTTAGTTAAAACATTTCTTACTTTATTTTATTATATACTTTGAGTAAAGGGTAATTTTCCTTTTAAATCATCCCTATATATAGTCACGACCGTCTTTCCTCATCGGCCTCTGTCACGGATGCGCGCGCACAGGGAGGTCACGTGCTCGCCGGCAGCCAATAAAAATTAAAAAAAAAAAACCTCCCTCGAGCCGGATTTGAACCAGCGACCTAACGATCACCGTTGTAACATCTACAGTCCTCCGCTCTGCCAACTGAGCTATCGAGGGATACAAACTGTATGAATAAGTTTACCTTATAAAGTCAACTAATCCTATTTCTACACACACAAAATGTACTCATACATATATTATATTATTATTATTATTATTATATATATATAGTCACGACCGTCTTTCCTCATCGGCCTCTGTCACGGATGCGCGCGCACAGGGAGGTCACGTGCTCGCCGGCTCCTTCGAGCCGGATTTGAACCAGCGACCTAAGGATCACCGTTGTAACATCTACAGTCGGGTAAAACACGGGCGTTGCCCGGGTCATTCGGCTAGTCTTGTATATAAAACAGTCGCCAGCCTTGAAGACATCATAAATCGTGCTAGCAGCTTCATATACCGTCCAAAATAAATGGCGTACGGCGAAGAGAACCCTTCAGCCAATTTGGCCAATTCTGGAATAATTAAAAATCAACGAGAATAGTTGATATTTATTCCGATAGATGGCGCAAGCCATCAGCAACTTTCAGTTGCACGATAAGAAGATGCCTTTTTCTTAATTTATGTACCTTATCCCAGTACAATATCACATTTGTGCTATTTTTTCACTTTGTCATTATAGTTTATCTTACATACAGCCCGGGAACAAAATTAGAGAGGCAGTTTATACTTCAGGGGGTTGTATTGGTATTCGAACTCATCATGGTTCTTACACCAGCCCAGCAAGGGAAGGATCGGAGCATCCAAGAGAGCGCAGGCTCCAGAAGAGAGAACGTAGCCCCAAGAAACTTTCCCCAATCAATAGATCGATATGCCTGGCACTTAAAGTGGTCTCCCTATTTTACGAACCGTCACTGTGTGTTGTTATATAAGTTCTTTTTTAGTTTTCTCGGCGATCAACCGCCAGTAGCAGAATACAAGTATTAGAACTATAATCCTCTGTATCAATTAGATTAATCAAATATAAATTTCCGAGTATAAGTTTATTTATTACACTTTTAACCAGTTTACAAGCTTTCGGGTTTTAAACGATCCTTCTACAGGTAAACATTTTTTAGAACCCGTTAAAAACCCGAAAACTTGTAAACTCGTTAAAAGTGTAATAAAGAAACCTCGGAGATTTATATTTGATTAATCTAGAATACAAGTATGGGATTCAGAATTGTATTCGTGGGCAGAAAACTTCAAATTTTAATAAATGGATCAAACTAGGCATAGTTTGTGACATTGACGCGATTTTGGATTACGTAATGATTAAAGTTTACTTTTATACCATCAATATTGCCTTTATTAATTCATATTTTAGATTTAGATATAAGCGCTGCGAGGAAATGACCCTATGCTTTAAAGTTACCGGCAATATTTGATATTCTTGGTGAGAAAATAAATACTATTGCTGAACTTTAATTACTTTATATCCTAATATTTCTTTAAAGTAAGAGAAGCGTTTGACTTCACTTTAAATGACGTGGTCCATTTGGACGAGGAAAGCGAAGACTAGAACACGGCTGATTCCACACTAGCCTGTTCAGTGATTCGCTAACCTTGACGTATGCAAGAAGGAACGTGTGGCCACTGGACATGCTTCGGACCTGGAGGCTGTTATTGGGTGCTGCGCTGCCTGGAGTATAGGAGCTTCATCTATGATTCCTTTCTTCCTGTGGTGAATCTATATAAGACCGGTGGTTTTGATAAAGCTGTGTGTGATTTCACTTTAAATATCATCCCCTTAAAATATTAAAATGGATTTCGACACAAAATAGGTTTTACGATTTCACAAGCTAAAATACCTTTTTGGCGAAATTTTGCCTGATATCGTCGGTTCTCTCATGGGCCGTGTCTGCAGTGATGGAGTCCCGACACCAGGACATAGATGTGGCTATGATGCTGGTGTTGTGACCATCGGCGCAGAGATCACCAAATAATGTCGTTTTAATACATTTATTAAGAGAGGAAGAGATTGGAACTAATTTTATTACGTCGATCATATACGATTATGTGAAAAAAACAATAGAAAAAAAATAGATAAGTGGGTCAGGTGTTGATATTAAAAACAAAGAAGGCATATCCTGACCACGAGTACATGTGTTTTTTAGATGGCGCTCTGTTCGTGGTCAGGATATGCCTTCTTTGTTTTTGATATAAGAATATATAAATGGTGAAATATACAAATAGATATTAAGGGGAATTAATATTATAAATATATTTATGGAAGCAATGGTCGCCTCTCCCGTTAAAATAAACGTCAGAATCTGACGCCATCTATTTAATGGGTGTGAAATAATATACAAGAGACACAAAAAATATAAATAATATATAATACAAATAAAATGACTCCTTGCTGTCCTTACAGAAATAGGTTGGTCCAAGCGGGGCGAGATGTACGGAGAGCTTTATTAGCGTAAACTGCCAGTTGAAAAATACGATAGAGGTGAATTGAGGTGGTTGTAATTTTGATGGGATTGAGAACTGCTTTTATTACATACTGAAGACGCCAAGACCTTGAATGGCAAGTTTACGTCTTTGAAGCGCGGTAATTTGGGGCAATATGAACCAAATGGATCAGTATGGTCAAAACTAGACCGTCTGTATACAGTTTACACTAACACGATACGTTCTCAAAAGTACTTGATCAGATTTGTTTTAAAATGCGTATATCTTTATTTTGATAAGTGTAAATGAAACTCAGTTGTTGGTCAAAATTTTTATAAACGGCCGGTCTAATTGGAGGACTATGGAAGGACACAGGGCTACAAACAATGGTTGCTGAAGTGTTTATGGAATAAATTTCGAGACATTTCGAATTTTGAACTCACTATTGAGATGTACTAATTGAAATAAGGCAACAATGAAATGTTTGCTAAGGTATTTATGGTATGAATTTAGATAAATTTCAAATTTTAAACTCGCCATTGGGTAGTGCTAATTGAAATAGGGTTATAATACAATGGTTGCTAAGGTGTTATGATATAAATTCGATAAATTTGTACTTTCTCTTTCTCTTCTCTTTTTAACTCACCATTGGAATGTGCTAATTGAGCCTTTGAGTTACGATGTAAAAATTAAACAAAAGAATGCAAGTACAGTTAAACCTATCTATAGCGCCCCCTCTTGGGACTCACCAAAATAGGGTGCTATAGACAGGTCACTTTTAATGTAAATCGCATATTACTACGTATTTAAAATCAGACGCTATAGAGAGAGAGGCGCTATTTAGAGGGGGTGCTATAGACAGGTTTAACTGTAGTTTCTTCGATAATATGAAGCCATGTGTACACTATGAATCTAAGTTTTGATGAGCATCTTGACAGGTAGGAAATGCTTGAAAGAAATTATTTTTAAAATATAAGAAAATACAAGTATCAGAGTCATCAATCAACAATCAATCAACAATTCTGTCACCGCTTGCTTTTGTGAATGGAATAAATACCCAAATATGGCCATTTTTATAAGCATCGGTGGTTGAGTGGTATAATGCTCGCTTGCCACGTGGGCGGCCCAGGTTCGATTCCCAGCCGATGCATTTTTTTTTTTTACAATTTTTAAAATTCATTTATATTATTATTAAAATAGACAAGTATCAGAGTCATCAATTCTGTCATCGTTTGCTTTTGTGAATGGAATGCTTTTACGTAATATACGTAAAATACGTAACTAATATGGATGAAATTTCAGCAGTATGTATAGTAGAATCTGGAAAAACTTATATTGAATATTTCAGGTCTCTATCCCGAATATTCTTCGAGGTATTTGCAAATTTGAGTTGCAAATTTGCTCTTTCGCTCTCAAGCAGCGCCTCTAGCGGTGAAGATGGGAGGTAATATCGGCTGACCTAATGGACATGTAAAACGTGTTTTAACTGGACATAGAGAAAAATCTAGAAAAGTTATTTTTCGGATTTTTAGTCAAGAAAAATAAATTGACAGGTTCTGGGAAAAAAAGTAGTTGTTTTTTATTCAGAAAATGATGATGACAATATTGCTGTATCATATTTGATTATCAGATACAAAATTATATCCGGAAAAATTCCAAAGAGCAGAGACCACGGGTGAAGCCAGTTCATTTTTAGTATGCAGGAACAAAATTCTAACAGAAAAACATTCATTCGAGCATAAGAAACAAAGCCAGAAAATCTCTTTATAAAAATATCGCTTCTCAGACACAAAGTTTGGAGCGGGACGTTTCACAAGAATGACATCCACGGCGCCAATTTATAATTGTAACGAATAGTATTTGAATAAAAGCATTTAATCGGGTAAAACCCGGGCGTTGCCCGGGTCATTCGGCTAGTAAGAAAATAATAAAAACATGGGGGGGTAGATCAGACTGGTGGATAGATCAGCTTGGAAAATGTTTGTTCGTCTCCAATAGTTACTAGAAGTGTTGAGAAACAAGCCATCTTGTATCGCCGTAACTCACTTGAAATTGATGGGCGCCATGCACGTTGCCAGCTAACCTGTTCAGAGAATATTCCCCACAAAAGATTCAAGAATTTATTATTCCACTTTTGTAATCGCTAATATAAGTAATATTTCATAATAATCTCCAGCAATTTGTCTTCAATGTTGGAGGAAATTTTATATTCTGGCCGAATAAAAAAAAAAGAATTAAAATATACTTCCATTATTCATGAATCGAAGGCAACTGATTTACATATTTTATGAAATTTATCGTTTTTATTTTTATTTTTTTCAGTTGGCTACACGCGTAATTTTCTGTTCCTATTAGAACCTGCTGGATCAGACGAAGTCCTAATACCTATAAGGAGTGTTCGAATATTTTAAAACCAATTTATATATCAATATATCCGTTCCATCCATAAAAACACTACGTGAAACTGAATTTGCAACACCAAGAATTAGTGGGAAAAAGGCTGTAAAAATCTGCATAAAGAGAGTACTGATGACGAACAATAAATTATCTTTATTAGAACAGAATACAGCTATATACTGAGAGACATCGCTGTCCACTCGATATGTTGTGGGACCACCGCTATGTCAACATGTCTTGGTACTGACTCAATGGTGTCCTAAAGGATGGCTGTCCATTCCATGTCAACCATCAGCCACAGTTCACCTTCTGAACTCGGCGCTGTGGCAGCGCACGCAAACGACGTCCAAATAAGTCCCAGACGTGTCCTATAGGTAAGAGATCAGGGGAGTCTGGTGGCCATGGAAGCACCGAGGTTTTTCAAGGCTTTTTGGCTGATGTGTGCTGTGTGAGGTCGGGCGTTATCCTGCTGTAAAATGGAATTTGGTAACCCCTGAAGTAGAGGTAGCGTTACTGGCCGCAGCACGTCATCCACTTATCGTTGGACCGTCATAGTGCCCTCTATATGAATCAGAGGTGATTTACTATAATAGGCGATGGCTCTTCAAGCCATAATGTAGCGTTGTTGAGATGCGGCCGGATTGGGCCTGTCACCAAGACAGCGAAAAACTCTTACTTGGTGCCTTTCATTGATAAAACAGAAGCGAGATTCATCTGAGAACCCTACCTTGTGCCATTCTGCTGTCCATTACGCTCTTTTCCAACAAAATTGCAAATGGAGGTATCTGTGGCAGTTGTCTCAACAGGCGCCATGAGTGTAGGCCGCCGGCGGCCAATCTGCGTATAATGGTTCTGGTCGATATGGGAGAATCTCGAGTGTCCTGTACATCCTGCAAATGGTGATAGAAGTGGACAGTGGGGCCGCCAACACCATCCGGAGGATGCGTCGGTTCACGCGTGCCGACATCCCTCTGACCGCACTAGCACCCCTAAATCATGCCACATTTTCTTGTTCAAACCATCTTCACCATAACTGGTGCACTGTGGATGCGTCGAAGTATTTGTTCGTAGAGATTTAACGTATGGACCAACCGGCCCTATTGAGTCCAATCACCATACTCTCTCGTAAAATCGTCTGTCTTCTGGAATTGCCTCGGCTAGCGGTGATCTGGCATTCTCTGCTACTAAACATTTTCTCTTATTCAACTTCTGGGTCTCAATCAACATGCGCGGGATAGATACGCGGCAGACTACTTTTTAAAACACGTGGCATTCTTAAATTGAAAACCGTTAGGGCAAAACCTATTATAGATAGAGTGTAAACCATCAAGGTATATAAGCCCAATGCACAAACACTATATCAAATTTACAAAATATGTATCATAGTCCTTATTTGCAACTGAGTATCACATTCGAAACTGAAAATAAAATTCAATAATTAATGAAAAACGTCTCCCAGTTTGTTGACCAATTTTAGCAATTCCCAACATAGTAGGTGTATCGTTGGCTTTGTTTGGAAATATAAAGCATTTACTTTCTTTTTAGTGTCTTTGTTCTATCTCATCACTTTGATAGAAGAATTGGAGTTACAAATGAAATCCGAGGGAAACTAAACGGATTCCAAAGAACTTCGTATTGCCCCCATCGTCAGATTGGAGTATTTGATGAAGGATAATTTAAAGATAAAAATACTCGGTGTAAATTGGTGACTGTTATGACGAAATCTAACACCTAGTTATTTAGTGTGCTTCTTATATTTATTATATATATATATCATAATATTCGGAAATATATAAATAAAATGGCCTGTGTGGGAGTACAAGCAAAGAGGGAAGATAGCCGGGTTAAAAAATAACTCCCTTCGTAAACAATGTCAAGTCATCATTCTCCCCGATCCTTTGGATCCTGTGTGTCCTTACCACCCATAACTCAACCACCACGACTGCTTCTAACCAACATGCCACACTACAGTCATCTAACAGCATAACTACATTACATCATATATATACTCATGAACAAAACTTAAGGAAGTTGTACCTTTTAGCATGTATATCGGGATTAAGACAATAACTCTGAAAGATATTACAATGACCTTTATTGAAGACACACGAGATAACCAAGTGTGAATAAAATTGTCTCTGTCTCCTTTAAAAGATTTTGAATTACTCGTTATCCTAGCTCGATCTGTTACAAGTCCAATCCCATCAAACATGGCCAGTAACTAAATAGATAATGGCATTTAGTGAGCAAGAATTACGAAGTCCTATCTCCATAGTTTCATTAAATATACTCAGAAACAATCATTAAAATCTTATAGCTCTATATAATTTAATTAATTAAAATCAGCAAGAATTGAAAAGCCTATCTCCATAGCTCCATCAAACATCATCAAGAAGAATACCAAAAGCCTATCTCCATAGTTTCATCAAAACCATCAGCAAGAATTATACAAAATCCAATCTGCATTGTTTCATCAAACATCATCAACAAGAATACCAAAAGCCTATCTCCATAGTTTCATCAAAAGCCATCAGCAAGAATTACAAAATCCAATCTGAATTGTTTCATCAAACATCATCAACAAGAATACCAAAAGCCTATCTCCATAGTTTCATCAAACACCATCAGCATTATCGCAATATTAATTTCATCCGTTCTCTAAATTTGATTTTTAACAGCCTACCATTTTTCCTATATTGTAGTTTGCGTAAATGTGCTTCCGATACGAAAATACAAAACTCAATGCAAGGTATGTTTACAAAACAATCACCAGAGGTTGTACATGCTCAAACACTATAATTACAGATACTTTTCTGACACCCATATTAAGCCTCTTTGGATAGCTGTAGGTAGACGACTTTATTATTAGAGCATTCGACCATCTCAACAAGCGCCTTTCCTCTACACACCTTATTTAAAAGAAGAGAAAAAAAAGATTATATAACTGAGAGAATTCATCCCATATACCATTGAATTTAATCTCTAGAAGGATTTGAGGCTTAATTAGAAAAGGAAGGGGGAAATTTTGTGAATTCTATATATAAATACTGTAATTACAGTAGCGATAGGCTGATGGCAATCTGGAGGACACGAGCGACAAGAGCTGATAAATTAGCATACATGAATTTTATTACAATATGAAAAAATGATGGAATAAACAAAACTATTTCGAATCAGAACAATTATCTTTAAGTATTCAGCCAATTACTAACCTCTTTATCGCAGAGAAGATCCGCTTCTGTTTTCCTTCTGAGCTTGATTCCTTGTTTTCCTCACTAAGGAACTCCAATCGAATTCATAAATTCCTTTTCGGAAGCTCTGAAGAAGTGGGATCAGTTATCTTTCCTTTGTCTTCCCGTAAACTAATCAATCTCCTTTACAAATTCAACTGATAAATCCTTATAAATTAAACAATCCGCCGCCGGCCATCCTTTTGTCTTTTTATTCCATGCTCAATTCCTCACCTCATTGGCTCTCTTCGGAACGTGATCAGCAAATGATAAAATATACAAATAATATATAGTTAACAGCCACCCTCTAAGAAAAACTCACAAGCGATACTTCATACCAAATTCAACACTTTGTTGCATCAAAGGCCTCAGTGTTATTGTGAAAAATAGGATATCATACAAAAAAAAAATCGAAGCCTCAGCACAATTTTAGCCTTATCGACCCTCCCAAAAAAAAACTATACATTTCACCGGGAATCTCGGAAGATATTTCTGCCATTCAAAGTCTTTTGCTTTCCATGCT